GAAAAAAAGAATAGTCGTAATAAAAATATAGAAGGATATTTTTATTTGGCAGATTTAAACTTTGAAAAAAATATCTTTAATGTTAAATTAAGTTATAGATCAGAAAAATTTCCATCCTTTATATTAAAATCGAAAATTGTGATTCAAATTGCCAATAATAAAATTATTGAAAGTTTTTTGCATGAAATTGATAAACGGGTATTTTATCATTTTTTATTCGAATAAACAAGAAATCTTGTTTAAAGTAATCTCACATGTAAATTGCTACATATGTATATACATCCTAAGTAGGGTTGGGGGCCCGATCCGGCCCGATTCGAAAGATCGAGTCTGGCCTCGATTTAATGTCCGAAAAAGACTCGGTCGGACCGGCCCGATAAAAATGAGGTTCGAAAAAATGACTCGAACGTCGGCCCGACTCGGAAACCCCGACCCTAATCCTAGGCATTTTAACATGTATAGCCAAAATCATATTCAGGCAAATTCATTAATATATAAATTTAAGGTACTCCGATATAATAATTTTATTGAAATGTGTTGTAATTATTATGAAACTTCTATATTAAATGAGACTTTAGAAAATATAAAAATAAATAAAAAAGAATTATTACAAGAAAATATAAAAAATTACAAAAACAAAATTTTATCAAGTTATTGGACGGAAATTAATTTAATTGGATATAAAATTGAATTGCTAGCAAAACAAAAATTTGAATATCCGAAAGAATTAAAAAGCAGAATTATTTATATTGGCAATAAAATAAGTGAATAAGTTTTTTTATTTATCCAATCGTATCTGTCCATCTTTTATCCACTCGATTTTTTAATAATATTTTTTAAATCCATCTCTATCCGCAGATATTCGCTATTATCCGAAAATGAACTTTCATTCATAAATATTATAGGTGGAAATGCTCAAGAGAACAAACGGCATTGCTTCAATTGTGGAGTTAAGCAAACCAAACAATGGTATATCTTCCTAAATGAATACCCTTTATGCAAGAAGTGTTATGATTATAAATATTTAAATAAAGGAAAATTTAGACCAAAATTTATTTTTAATAAAAAGGTATATTATTATGAAGATTATTTTGAATACAGGTATACATTGATTAGGGAAACCCAAAATATGTGGCTGAATACGGAATTTATTCACGATACAGAATTTTTACTGAAATCGCATAAACTCTGACTTAATTAGAAATTATTTGATTATAAAATAGCAAGAAAACCAGTTCTTCAAGAAGAGCCCGTACAGATCAGCCCAAAATGGATAGGTTGAAAGAAAATTACAAAAGGAACGAATTTTAAAATTTTCATTCTTCATCGAGAAACTAAATTTTGACTATTAAGTATTCCGCTTTTATGAAAAAAAATTTTTTTAAACATGTCTAACAGTCACTTGGCTTTAAAAAGTCTGTTAATAGAATTAATACTTCACGTAATAATTATTTAATTTACAAAGGAGCGAAGTTGTTTTAAATGCGGAGTGACACATACATCACGTTGGCGTCGTGATTCAAAACATGAAGACTATCTATGTAATGCTTGTGGTCTAAAACAAAGAAAATTAATGAAGAAAGCAAATAAAATTACAAAAGAATTGCAATAAATAAATAGGTTTCTAAATAGAATCAGTTTTATAAAATTAAATTAAATAAAATTTCTTTTCGATTTTTAAAATTTTTTAGAGAATTGAACTAAAAATTTATTGTTGAAATTTTGGCCAAATTTATTAGTCATGGATTCACTAATTAAGTGAAACAATATAGTTAAGTGAAAAAAAATTAAGTGAACAAAAAAAATTACAAAATAATTTAATAAAAGAAAGTATGAATCATTTGAAAAAATTAAAGCCAGGCTCCTCCCGTCCTTGGAATACATAATTATGAAGTTTAAAAATTTTCGATATTTTGGGTAATTCGTCATTTTGTGTGTCGATATTTAGGGTCATTCGATATTTTGGGAACGATATTTAGTGTGTCGATATTTAGGGTGTCGATATTCTGGGATGGAATTTTAATTTTATTTTCAGACCACAAGGGATGCATTTTTTCAGATCACAAGTGATGAATTTATTAGTCAGATCTATCACTCATCGATGTGTAAAGAAGTATTTGTTCTTCCATTTATTAAAATATTAAATAAATTATCTCTATATTTTTCCATAATGTCATCAGTAAAAAAATTCATTACAAGGTTTTCACTAACTAAATTATTCAAAATAAATGAAAATATATATTCAATATTTTTGTCATTAATAAATAGTTGGCATATTTCAATATTGAATTTTTTAGTATTGCCAAATAATAATTCGATCAGTTTTGGATTAAATATAAATCTTTGCTCATAATAAATGCTGGTAGTCTGATTCTCAGAATTAGTTCCTACTAACTACAAATTTAACAAAAAGTCTAGAGTTTATTACTAAACGTAGCAAACTTAGGGGCAGATTGGCTTGATGGGGCAATCATTATTTGATGCTTATGTTTTAATTAATCACTAATATATTTTTAAAGATTAACAAATACTTTTTATAAAAATAAGTTGAATATATTTTAAAAATATGAGAAAAAATTATTTTAGGACTATTAAGAGGATGAACGTTTGCATAAACTTTACTTACATATATTTTACTCCAACCTTTATTATATTTAACTTCAATTTACTTTGTGGAGATTGCAAAAATTTTAAAATTTTTCTCAAAAGGATTATAAGAAATTAATGGACGGCAGAATTATATTGAGGAAAGATGGGTAAAACCAGCAACAGAGCGTTTTACAATAATTTTGCACATATTTTAAATAGAATGTAATTTGAAATTTTTAAGAATTTAAAAATATTTTTTTAAGAATTAAAGTTGATGTATTGTTTCGATGAATGAGACTTGAACTTGAAAAGAAGACTAATTGAACAAAGTAAGCAGCCCAGAAACAAATATAGATCTCATTAAATTTTTTTGTTCAGACACTATATGGCATAAAAATGTTTCATCGGTGTGCATTCTCCTTGTGTAAGAATCAATAAAGAGTTGGTCGGCTGCACTACCCTCTTGCCCATAAGATCAACTGACTTAAGAACACAAAGATATTTATTTTAGATGTTTAATTAGTGCCGTGTGATTTAGTCAGTGGTGAATTTGGCAGTGGTAATATGGGTAGTAGGTCCACAGGCATCCCCAGAAAAAGAGAGAGGTATATAATAGTGCCGGTATATTACAGCCCTCGTTTTTACAAAACCGGCCGAGTTAAATTAAAAACAAAAAGCTTCAAAAACGTTTATATTATTCTGAATAGTTTAATTAAAATTATTTTAAATTATTTTAAAGTGCCGAGAGGCGCCTTATTTGTGAAGGGGACGATTTGTCATTTGTGCAAGAAACATCTGTTTGTGCTACACCCAAAAGTTTTTGAGAGGCATCAGAAGCTGCATTTCTTTTTTCTTCAGCTCCTTTAGCTTTCTCATCAGTCACAAAATTAGAAAATGAATGGCGAGCATATAATAATTGTGTAGATGTTGGAATTGTATCTATAGAAATTATTTTTATTTTTCAAAATGATGAGGATTTTCTGAATAAAATATTTAGTCATCTCTCCATATACCGTAGTATTCCTCTAAAATAATGTCACTTTAGAAAAGTAAAGGAAAATTTTCTGAAATTCAATTTCTAAAAAATAATTAGTCAATATTTTTAGCTAGTTTTCTATATATTTTTTTCTTAAATATCCTTTAAAGTTAAATAGCTAGTCTGCGAAAATTCGAAATTTAAGAAATTTGTAATGCCCGGTTCCATACTCTTTTATTTTACCTTCATCAACACCTAAATGTTCATCTCCAGCCGTTGCTGTAGAGTCCAAAAGTAATTTAATTGCTGTTAATGCTGGCCGGGGAATAGTTTGTTGATCTAAAATAAATTTTTTGTTTATTGCTAGAAAGCCTGTCGATTCGCTATAATAATGTTATTAGAACTCGGAAATATTATAGGATTAAATCCAACACGAAGAAAATTTGAAGACCGAAGAAAACTTTTCCCGGAGAAAGCATTTCTTGATTTCCCCTTAATATTCTTGTTAAATTAGGGTTTAGCTTTTATAAACGACAAAGATACGGCAGACAAAGTAAACTGGATTACCCAAATAAATCCTACTTTTACAGTTTTACCCGTATCATTTTTACAAAAATTATTTTGAAAATTTTCTTTACCAATTTCGTCTCCTTCAAATTTTGGAGAATTACTACGAACAGTTTTTGGTGTATAAAATATTTCAGTGACGCCATCGATGCTTGAAACACTCCAAGAAACTCTTGAATTATTATTTAATATTGTCAATCCTTCCTCCTCTTGAGAGCTATTTCCTCCGCTAATTTTCATTTTTTGCATTTGCTCGGCACTTACTTCAGCACACCAAGAAGCACTTCGGGCAGAGGATGATGATGGATTTTGAATTTTATTATTATTTAGAGTAGAGATGTCTCCACTCTTTCTGAGTTGGTGAGAAGGAAGAAGTCGATCAAAATTATATTGGTGTGTATTACCGGAAAATGTAAACGATTTTAAAAAATTTTTAAATTATTTTTTAAGGTATTTGATTTTTTATAAACAATTGGAAATATATGCTCGTCCCTGAAAAGCCTACAAACGATATCCGAACAAGGATGAGAGCAAAAGATAATTTCAGAAACGCAAAGCTAAACAAAAAATCAACTCAAAATACCGTATTCCTCTAATAGAATGACACTTTCTAATAATGCCACTCTGGAAGCTGATTGAAAAATAGAGTTTCATGGCATTCTAATAGAGGAAATACGGTACTCAAGATGAAATCGCTCAAATCCGATCTGAAACAGAAGATTCGGGCTTTTGGGTTCCTGATTTCCGGAAACGCCACATTTTTTTATAAAATTTATTACTTTTATCTTTAGTAAAGGTTTCTGCAACCAACGGCGAAATAGAGGAACATGCACGTACTCGTCCGTTAACCTTATAAACAGGGATGCCATTATTTGAAGAAGATAAATCTTAGAGAAGAAAATTGAGAATTTTTATAAAAGATAGGTCCAAAAGTAATTTCACCTGGATTATCGTTAAAATTGTTTGAAGAGAAAGGAAAGGGATAATCATCAAGAGAACCAAAAGATTGATGTAAAACATTATGATTTATTTTAGAAACTAAAGGACGTCCTAGAAAAGCGGAAAAAATTATCTGAAAAAAATTTTCAATCTTGCCTGACGATTTTAGGCTTCGTTCGCTTGAATTCCCACTAGATTTAATACAATTACCCTTAATACCACGAATTCCCATTAAGGAAGCAGAGAAGCGTTTGCGCAGTAAACGTTCATCTTCAAATCCTCTTCTCATTTGTTGAACTATGAAGGAAATCTGGAAAATATCTTCCTGGAATTTTAGTATTTATATCCCCAAACCAAATTTCTCCAAGCCATAGCAGTCTCTCTACATCGATGCTTCCTTCCCCCACTAGTGCCATCACATTCCAGAAGACTTTGTATAATACACCTTTTAATAATTTTCTTATATTTTACTTATTGGATATCAAGCTAAAGTTACTTAATGGTAATTTGTGAAAAAATATTTAAGGCTGACAATGATTTTTCCAAGCCTTTAACTGACCGTCTCTATTCATTATTTATTAAAATGACTGACTGAGCTCGGTAATTTTGATCTCTTATGGTCCGTGATAAATCTTGTATATCTTTACTCAATTAAAAAATATCCTCATAATTAATTGTTCGAAAGAATGATTCATATATTCTTAAGTGTGCCAGAAATATATGTAAAAATTACTCGAGAAATGTATCCCAATAATGTGTAGGAAAAGCTCTTCCTCCGTTCATCTGGCAATGTTTTTTGCCTAATGCCTGGAAATGAATGCCTAATTTGTCTGTATATTGCACGTTTTTGACGATATATTCTAATGCACGAGTGAGAACACTTGCATGTCTTCGGAATTGTCCTTCATATTTAAGGCGACCTTTGAAAGATGTGATTAATGGTACTTGATAGAAAATTAAAGAGAAGCCTCTAAAGTGGTTGTAGGTAAACATACATGGGTATATCCGGAAAAATTTTTGATAGGAATGTAAGGAGTGAAACGGATCTGAACCACTAGGAAGCCTCATGTCCCAATGCCATTCAAGCGGTATTCGAATCTAGATAGAGTTTTAAGAGTTAAATATTGCACCTTGTGGTACTTTTTCCAACCCAAAAAGTAATTTAATATCTGGCTGTGCTGTCAAAACAGTGTGAAAAACTCGTGAACCCACACCACCATCAGCAGCTCCCTAAGACAGATTTAAAAATAATTAAATGTTAACAATTATTTTAAACACTTTTTTAGCCCTTTTCCAGCTGTTTTCAATAAGAACACGTTGAGTACGTGTTAATAAAATAGTTAAAACTGAGGCTGAATTCTCGATTCTAGCCATTTGTAAATTTTGGTTTTGCCTATTTAATGTATCATTTGAATTAGTGCTTCCATTAGAGCCTGATTTTCTTCTTCTATTCCTATCTCCCGCTTCCAAAGTTTCCATATCAAAAATTATAGCCTGTTGTGTATCGTCATTTATTTGAAACAATTCTTTTGTTGTAAAACTGCATTGTGGGCTATCTCGAGGCTTAAAATTTTTAATAGATTAAAATAGGGAATGTGTTTGTATCCGGGATAATGACTATAATAAAACCACGGTAAATATTCAGCTTGCTGTAGACCTATCTGTAAAAAGCCTACTTGCCTCTCAATATGCCTCTTGCCTTAAAATCTTGGCATGAACTATGAATCTGGTAGAGCATAGTTCGAGGAACTCCCAGACCTTGCCCCTAACCCAACTCAATCTCAATTAGTGAGATTATGAATAAATAATTTTGAGAAGAATGAAAAGGATTTATAATGGACTATTCTCATATTAGAAAGTAATTCTTCCTAACCTCCACTGCCACTCCACCCAATTTGCGGCCACTATGCCGTTGCTGAACTAATAACGAATCAGCTAAAATTAACAAAAAATTTTTTAATGAAATTATTATTTAACCTCTTGGACTGTTAACTTTATAACGACGATCAGCTAAAGAAAGTTTAGTTCCCGAGCTTTGTGTTGCTCCCATTTATTATTTTTTATGTTTTTTGAATTATGTATTTAAAATAAATTTTGAAATTTTTATTTAAAATTTTTAATGCTATAAATAATTTAAAAATATATACTTAGTTTATGAGCTATGGGAAGCTATCTAGGGTTATTTAGAGGGGTAGAAATCTATTATTTTTATTAATTCGTGTGGATTCTATTCGAAATTATCCAAAAATACTTAGTTTACCCCCTATGGAGATTTATTTCGGGTTAGTTTCGGGGTTATAAAATATTTATTTTTATTATTTCGAATAGATTTTCTTCGAAATTATCCAAAAATACTTAGTTTATGAGCTATGGGAAGCTATCTAGGTTATTTAGAGGGGGCCCCACCTTGGCGGATTTTTTTCTTAAGACCATTTTAATCCTCAAAATTTTGCCGCCTTAAAGATAAAAATCCGCAATTAAATAAAAGTTGCGGACTTTAAAAATTTCGAGTTTTTTTATTCCCTAATACAATTAATTAAAATTACAATAAAGGTAGTTTATATGATCTCGTTAGTCGAGCTTATATTTTGCGAATATCATCTACCGATCTCTAAAAATTTTTAAAAATTTTCTAAAATTTTAAAAAAATTTTTTCATTATAAAAATCAATCAGACAACTTAATGTAAATTTAAAGAAGCAACTTAAATAAATATAAAATAAATAAAATGAAAAATTTAGAATAGAAAAATAAAAAGGAAAAAAGCTAAATTAATAAATCGGATTAACAAAAGAATAAAAGACAAACGTTCCTAAATTAATATTTAAGTAAATAAAATTATAAATGTATGTATTTGTGTAGAATATTCTATAATTTTTTTATTATGTTCCTTTTTTAATTAAATTTATAATGCTTTTATTGGAATAGAATTTAAAAATCAGTATCGAAGTTTTTGATATAGAGAATTATTAACTTTGAAATTTTTATTGCTTAAAATAAAAAAAAGTGGAATCTCGATAACGACAAAAATCTTAAGACGGAAGTCAATATACACTGCGGTGCATATGTTTATGCACACTAGTTTTTTGTTCATAATTTTATGCAATTTTTTGAATAAGTGTGCATAAACTTATGAACAAAAAACTAGTGTGCATAAACATATGCACCGCAGTGTACATAGACTAAAAACAGTAGAGTCAGCAGAAGAGGACAAATATCGTTCGGGATGAATCAGGCTACCTAACTTAATAATCTTTTATCTAGAGATTTAGATGGGCTATTTCTAACATTCGATTTAATAATACACCAAAGACAAATTTTGATCTCTCAATAGGAGAATGAACATACATACAATTCTGGAACCGCTTTTTTAATTTTACTCGATTCCGGTTCTGTCTGGCTTTTATAATTTTGCCGATTCCGGTTCTGGAACCGGTTCCAACCCGGTTCCAGTTCCAAAAAATTTTGGTTGTACTTTAGTAAGGGCCACCTAGATCGAAACTCGAAGTATATATCATTCGATTCGTCTCGCCAAGCTGAGTTCAAATATGCAGGAATTTCTTGAGAGAAACGAAAACTCCCAGGTCGTAGGCCAAAAAATTCACTTATCAGCGCCGCAGGCGAAAATTTTGAGAATTTCTGGGGTCGTAGGCCAAACAATCCACTTCCCGAACCGGAACCGCACTGATTCCGGAACCGGAACCCCCGCATCACTGCATACAAGTCAAAAGGTTCGGAACTTTAGTAAAGTCCTGAAATAAAACCTTTTAAAATTGAACATCAGAAATCATAGTAAATGTCTAGAAGTAAACGTCAGGAAATTCACTTTTAGCTTTAGCAATAAAAATAATTTTTTGAATATTTTATTTTTAATATATGTAGCACTTCAAATGCTTATTTAGTAAAAGAATATTTCCACTTATAAAATAATCAAAAAGGCAAAAAAAAATATTAAAAGCAAGCAAATTTTATTAAAAAATTTTATTGAATTATTTTTTAATTTAATATTGAAGATAAAACAGAAGAAGAAAAGGAAGAGGAAGTTGAGGGAGATGACGATTTAATAGAAATATTGACATCTGAAATATCTGAATTTGAATTCTTTTTTAATTCAGAAAAATATTTAAATTTATTTTTGTCTTCAAAATTAGTATTTTTGTTATTATAGCTATATTTCCATATTTCGGCCAGGCAAACACTGAAAAAATAAGTTTGAAAAAATTTTATGTAATTTTTTAAACCTTGAATGGAAGCGAAAGAAAACAACTAATGGTGCTACGGCAACTTAAATAAAATACAAAAATTATGAAAAATTTTGAATATAGAAACAAACAGCAGGCATGACAAGGGCTTGGGACCGGAACATTGGAAAAAGCTGAATTATTTGGTACGGGCTATACTGATATAGAGTAAAGTTGAGATTTATTAGGAAAACTTTGGGTAAATGTTTATGCATTAGATAGAGTAGAATTAAGGCCCCTCCAAGTATATCGTTTTTTCACTTAGTTTCCTAACACAAATTTCTGATTTATAAAATAGCTATTAATTTATTAAAACCATACAAACATCCCAAAAATTAAAAGAAGTAATCCTCTTTAAACCATACCAATAAGCTTTGCATAAGGTCTAGCCCGTCTCGTAGCAATTGTGTCGCCAAAAACTTTTATAAAATCATTTTAAAAATAAATAAATTTATTCAAATATTACCAGATTTCATTCCTTCAAGTGTATGGAAAAAGAATAACGAAACATTAGAAATAAGCAAAAATGTAACAAATTGTTTTCCAGGTTTTTCTCTACGAGTTTTGGGAGACAACGCGCGCAGTCTTTGTAATTAAAAAATTTATTTTTAAGAGAAAGTTTCCCTCAATACCTCCTTGACAAAAGTATAAAGACTGACTGTACTACAACTTGCATAATTCGTGTTATAAATACAAATAACATGTAAAACTGTGAAGAAAATATAAAATTATAAATCATATTTGGACCAGAGTCGGTCGGAATTCCGATTTCCGGCTTTTGAGCCATTTCGGATTTCAAACAGTTCCGATTTCCGGCACCTTCGTCATTTCCGACCGACCTCTGATTTGGACTATGTAAAGTTTAAAAAAGTAAAAACACCTCCATTTTAATGGGTGCTTTATCCGATTGAGTAGATATCCAACACATAACACCGGCTGATAAATAATTAATATTATAAAACAACAAATTTTTCTTAACTTGAACTGTGTATAAGTTCCCCAACAAGGCCAATTGCTAATAAAATTTCATCCAAAAATTCAGTATTAGTAGCCCTTTGTTGTTCTTCGTGGGGTTGATATTGAAGAGAATTCATTCTAAAATTTGGCATTTATTTAATAGTTATTTACTGTAGTTATTCTCATTAGGTATATGTTAATATTATAATAATTACCCTGGATAATTATTAGAATGGATATGGCATGTAGTATATGTTAACAATAGCTAAATACATAGTGAAATAGATTTAAAACTATAATACACCAGAGATAGAATGGGTTGCTCGAAACACAGACATTTTCGATTCGAATCCAAAGAAAATTTTGTAAACTCAACCCAAGGCCAAAAGTTTCCTAACCCGATCCATCATAGATGTACCGAATAAAATGCGAAGGTTTTTCTGTGGGTCTAGGTGTGGATTCTGGGAAACAAAAATGCTAGTCGATTAGATAGGCAATTATTAATAATTTTTTAACAAATCTCAACAAAAATTATGTAAATTTCCTGAATAATCCAATAGAACAACCAATCAGTGTACAACAAAATAGGGCCATATCAGAAAGTCGAAAGACAAGTAAAGCCCCATCTGGATCTTCGTGTTGTGAGAAAAATGAATGTATCCCAATTGATACAAAAGAAGCAATTAAAAATAAGAGTCCAGCAAAGAGACCTCCGCTTGATGCACTTAATAAATTATTTGTTTAAGAATTTTAGTATACAGTTGAATCTACGTCTGCTAATCAGCTTTGTGGTAGACGTTGTATCGGGATTTGACCGTAATAGTCAAGATAGTTCAAAATAGTTATGTGAATTTTTCTCTAATTTTAGTTATTAATAGAGCCCGAACTTAACAAATCCGGACCAAGTTTTAATGATTTTTAGTTTTAACTTGACAAAGACAAGTTATAATTATGGTTTTGTCTTAATAATTCGTAAAGAGTAACAGGTATAAGGTTACCGGACCATAAAATCCCTGACCAAGGCCTCTGAAAAAAGTTCATTAAAAGATGTAATTACCTGCAATCAATTCTGATATTTTTTGTAGTTTTTGTAGATTGAGCTTTCGTTGCCAATAAATTAAAATATTCATTAGTACAATTATTTGTTTTATTAATCAAATTATTATCAATTGATTTCCAAATTGTTATCATAATTGCAGCACCAATTACAGAATATTCCTAAAACATATGAATACAAACTAGAGACAATGACTTCACTGATTCTAGGTCTCTATTTCAAAAATCTAGACTCGCCAATCGAAAAATCTCTTTGTCAAATGAGAATTTCGGCCTTAAAACCCGAGGTTATGGCTGAGATCACGTCTCAATCTGATCTCTAAAATCGTTTAAGAATACAATTCCTTTTACATCAAGACGATATTTTGAAAGGGACTACCGTATTTATTCTAATATAATGGCCGCCACTCTATTTTTTGATACTCCCAAAAAGGGGCCATTCTATTGAAGGGGCCATTCTATTGGAGGGGCCATTCTATTGGAGGGGCCATTCTATTAGAGGGGCCATTCTATTAGAATAAATACGGTATAAGTAAACTCTTCAAAAGTCATTTAAGATGACATGTAGGGAGTTATTATAAAAGATTAAAATATTAGCAATATTACCACAATACACGTAGTAAGTAAAGTAGCAAAATCGCCAAAATAATTGAACGAAGAGACTCTCAAAGGTAAAATTAAATTGTTCGAATTGAATATTAATTTATTATTTAAATTTTCCAATCCAATAAAGCTCAAATTATTTTTATTTTCACTAAAAAATAATTGTTCTTCTTCACTACTGCTGCTGTCCAGTAAAATTCTCTGCCATTTATTTTTTATTTGTAATTCCGGAGCTTTTTTATCCAAATCAGCATTTTTTGCAATTACAAAACGGAGCCAAGTCCAAATATTAATTGATAATAAATGCATCGTTCCAAATTTTATTAAGTTTTTTGAATCGCCAACAACTAACTTTATATTAGATTTATTTAAATGTTTTTAAATTTTGCTATAGTCTCTCATCGTCATTTATTCCGGATTTTATCAAATTACCGTTTCCGGACTATTGAACCCAGAAATCCTTGGCCTGGCTCGATTCGAAATCTAGTCTATAGTCTTTAATCTAAATTTTCATGATCATATGGTCGCCGTTTTGCTTTGATTTAAGTCTAAATATTTGAAATACGACATGGTTCAACAACCCTGGTTATGATTTTAGCTTTAAAACAAACTTTTGAATTGCAGAAAATAAAATGCATTTGAATGAAAGTAAAAAACCCAGCCAATAGCCAATTAACAAAACGATAATTATAACACTGATTATTTGAATGACAGATAAACATTTCTAAACAGAATAAAACAATTCCACTACTTCCAAAACCTTTAAATTTTAAAAAATTTTTATTTTTATAAATTCAATTAAAAATTATGATTTTAAACTATCTGTAATGGAAGGCCAGGTTAAATTAATCCGGTAAAAATCGGAGATAGGCCAAAGGGACTTGAACTTTTGGCAGTTGTTCTAGGCGTTTTCGCTCACCATGTACAGGTCCTCTACCAACTTAGCTACCGGGGGCTGTTTTCACCTTCTCTTGCTTTCACCTTCACCTAGTGAGCGTTTTAAACGCTAACCAGCTGGATCTTTCTCTTTCTTACATAATATAAATGCTAGATTTGGGAATCGGGCCTCAAAATAAGGAGTTTCCTCTAAAATGTTGATCTTATGCTTGGTCCTAATTATAAATCATAAGCTATGTCTTTTATAAATCATAGAAAAATTATTTACATAAAGTTCCAAGCCGTAAATATAGAGAACCAGCACCATCATTTTTAATTCGTTCAAATATTTTTTTATTATTTTTTTTAAATATTGAACATTTTTTAAATATTAAATTAGTAATCCATGTTGGGTGACTGACTTTAAATAAATAGCAATAGAAAATAAATAATATACCAATCCCATACATATAAGAAAAGAAAATCTTGAAAAGAAAATTTTGAGAAAAAATTTTTTAGGGAAAAACCGTTTCTGCCAGCCATTCATCTGAAGTAAATTCTTGAGAAAGTTCTACTACTATAGCGAAAACTATAATAAAAAGAGCATAAAGGGAAGTGAGGACAGAACAAAAATGATCCCTAAAAAAGAGAAATTTATTCCCTAAAATTAAAAAATTTTAACCAAGCAGGTGAATGGTTAAGCCAACTTTCATAATATTTTCCCGATTCTTCTTGTGGATATTTAACTTTGTTAATTTCATTATTAAAATTTTCTTTATTATTTTTTTCGTTTTCCAAAGAAATTATTTTGTTGTTATACGATTGAAAAGAATCTTTGCAAATCGAGGTTGATCCTAATAAACAAGAATATTATGTACTATATGTATTACAAGAATATTATGTATTATACATCAATGTTTTTCTATTCCTTGATTTTCTCATGGATCAAATTAACGGCTATCCCTGACCATTATGAAACTTTTAGGAGAAAAGGAAGTAAAAAAGAACATTAGATGGATAACGTAAAAGTACCCAATGATTTATTTAAAGAGATAATTATTTTCAGGCCCTGAAATGCCTTGGCATAAAATATCGGATATACGAGATAATTTAATAATTACGAATACCTTCAGTATCAAAAGAATCCCTTTTTGCTTTTGTTATATGGTCAAAAACAGAATATTGTTGAAGAACCATTAAAAGCAATTTTAAAAAATTAATTGAAATATTTTTTAATCGAAAGTGTCGAGAATTTAGAAATAGTTATTTTCTAATTTTTATTACTTTGTAAAAATTTAAAAATTTATTAAAATTTAATTCTTATCAAAAGTAAATTTCAGAATATGTAGGTGTGGGCATTTCGGTTCCTAAGGAAATTTCCTACAATCAAAGCTGACCTTGATAATATTTTATCCAGACAGTGACATCTAATCGAGATTTGATAACCTATTAATTCCCAGAACTTAATAGGTCATGATATTCATTTTCACCAAGCGAAGCTGACCCCTGCTATCATTTTTCTCCTAGGTCTGCTCAACTCGGTCCAGACTTCTAATCGAGATTTTACCAAATATTTATTAACCTAGAGGCTTATTTCTAGCTATAAAAATATTTATTTGGGGAATATACTGAATAAACAATGTCTGTTGTTAAAGAAGCTAATAAACCCTTTTCTTTTTTTACCACGAGAAATGACTGATTTAGCAACAAACAACAATTAATTTAATCAACAAATAAATATACATATAATAATTACACGCCCTCTCACACTTAATAAAAATATAAAAGTAAATATTTATTTAGATTTTTAATTGTTTGCTTATAAATAAATATTATGTTTTAAATAATAATGTACATAAAGTCGCCGAAAAATTTATAAAAGCAAAGGGGGGGGGGGGTTTAAAGGTGAATGAAAAATAGCGTTTTTAGTAAAATATACTAAATATGTATAAGCATTACTTATAGTAATTTTGTTTTTTAAAGTAATAAAATAATTAATAATACCAAATGGAAGTTTGTTAAATTTTTCGATTTTTAATAGAATAAGGAAAGGTCTTTAACCAACCCCTAAGTCTTTAAGGGTTTTACCAACCCTTAAGTCTTTAACACGTACTGAGAGTTGAACCTAGCTAGCTAAGAGCACAACTGCAAGGTTATACAAATAACTCTGGACAGTTATAGCTGCATTTTAAAATACAGTCAAATGTTGATTCATATACCTCTAGGGCCTGTAAAAGTGTATGTAAAATTCAGGGTTTTTATAAATATGGGGTATAAAGTAGCTCTCCCCACTCAGAGGCTAGATACATAAGTAAAAACTATGTAAAAGAATGTGTAAGCTATAATGTAAGCAAAATAACGATCCGATGTATAACATACTTTTAATTCCGAAGTAAGGTTGGCGGATCCAGATATCCGAATCCAAAATAAGACCGCATATCCAGAAATTTTGGGTTCGGATATCGAATCCAGATATTCGATAATACCTAGAATCAGCCAACCCTATTTTGAAGGTGTAGCTAGTCAAAAATTGGAGGGTCGAGATGCCTCTAATTGATAACGAAATATTAGTATAACAAATTTAATATTAAATTCCCTTATAGAGTGAAAATTTACA